CAGCAGCAGTAGAAGGGGAACACACAGCGCAGACGATAGCTTTGCTACAGCAACATACAGTGCTTCACCCTCATACGGCGCGCAATGGGCACAAGCAAGTTATGGTGAAAGCAGTGGAGCAGACGAGATGTATTACGATGATTCTTATCTATACGACCCAAATGCTGGTCAATGAGCTGCGAAGAAGCTATTGTAAGATCAACCCCTGTTCTCTTGGTTTCCTCGACTCATATCGATACAGTGGTTTTCGAACTTGGGAATAGAAGGAATTTAACGGACTTATCACGATTAATGCCATTGTACAACTTATCACACACCCTCTTCTGGAGTTTTTGTTTTGGTATTACCCCGCTCGCTCACATGGAGTTGGTCTTCTTGGGCTGGATTGCTATTCTTGGATGCGGCTGAGATTTGGGACGGGATGATTCAAAGCGGTCAGGCGAGGCAAGGCAAGGGATGAAGGACTAATTACGAGAGAAAAGAAGATCTCTCTTTCTATTCATAGATCATGTTTTACCATACCTAGGGCACTCCTCTACTCTGCTACTGGTTGGCGTTAAAGATGGCGGCAAGGGGATGACTTTGCATAATAAGACAACATTTGATCCAATTTGTTTGCACGATAAATTACTCGATGATTAGTTTTGAGAGTTGGATAAGCTGACAGTGGTAGGTATATGGGGGAATATGAGTTGTGCTGACCAATGAAGGGCTACTTCATATCACATTTTGAGGTCTAATCGTATGTCCATGTGCTGTAGTCCTATGTACGAGAATGTGGCCTCCAACATGTATAGCGCTATACGAATTCAGGCATACAACAACCCCTGAGAACTGAAGTATGCCTTGTTCCAGCCATGCCCCATCTTGCAAGATGTGGCCTGATACGGACATGATCTCCCATGTTTATTGCCAGCCAACACTATAACCTTAAAGCATAGTGTCGACTGGCATTTTCTTGTATACTCCAAATCGTTTAAGTTGGGACTTGAACCATATAGCCTCGCCTTTGCTGCAAAATAAGCAGTGTCGAATGTTTCCGGCGTGTATCGTATGGTAACCGTCAACCAATTCCTCAGATATCTCCCGTTCTATAGAATGTTCTCTAGACTTACAATATGCAATTTTCATTTTCTCGTCTCGAATGTTTTTAGCATTAGGTGTGGGAAGGAGGAACATGTAGCATAGCTGTGCTCGCTCAGTAGTTGTATTCGATAAGAGAGTTGTAGTTACGTGCCCGCTTAATGTCAAGACGGAGGGTCAATAATGATCTCTGGAGAGGCCATGATATCATTTTTATCTTGGCTTTAACGTATAAGTCATGCTTTTGGGTATCAATTTCTCAAATTAAGGTCTTGTCGTTCCAGAGATATTGGAGGATAATGTAATGCAATATGCATGCGACAAGTGTAATACAGGACAAGGCTTGCTAAATATTTTCTCAAGGCTAGAACTTAACCCTACCAACACAATATTTCGATTGACTCTTCATCTCATAGATCAAACCACTTCTGAACAATAACGAAGCCCTTATTTATCCAATGCTGAACAGCTTGCAATGAATAAGAAGATACTTAGTGGCACAAGCTGGCGTGTGAACCGGCGATTGCCCGTTTAGGCAATTCTTCATCCACCCTGGGTAAGTAGTGGAATGGAAAGCACGGAACGCAGTGCCCCTGCTTCCATGTGCGTGCACAAACAGTTCCTGCCCCACCCAAGTTCAACGCTTGGTCCCCTGTCAACTTTTTCTCACCGCCCGGCAGAAAAAGTGGTGATTCTGCCCAGTGCTGGTGCGCATTTCATGAAGCTATCGTCGATTCTTCTTTGCGCCATTCACCACTCAACCTTGAACACTAAGAGATTGATTTTCTTACTGATTTTTGGCAAACGGCAACGAGCTTATCGAAGTTCCTAGTTGTCCTTCTACTTCCAACTCTGTACCCAGTTTTTTTTTTTTGTCAATCCAGGACGGTCATCATGTCGTTGTCCACAACTGGCGGTGTTGCTCTCAACCCTGAGGTGAAGTCCAAAAAGGGTAAGTCATAGATAGCTACCACTTTCTTCGGTCCCTTATCCTAGTCTATGAAGCTCATCTAACGTTTGCGACATGCAGACAAGAACCTGAAGCGCAAGCAAGACAAGTCAACCAAGCTTGAGCAGCGCAAGAAGAAGCGTTCCGCCAAAGCAGAGAAGCGAGCCGTCAAGGCCGCCGGTGCCGTCAGTGCTGATCCGAAGGAGGTCGTTGGCGGCAAGCCTCGAAAGTCAAAGACCGTGGCGAAGAAAACCGTCAATGCTTCCAAGCGCAAGGAAAAGCTAAAGGCTCGTGCCGAAAAGCTCCAAGAAAAGGCAAACTTGTTGTTGGCCGAGGCCAAGAAAGCTGCTGCCCAGTACCAAGCACTTCTTGATGCTGAGGTAAGTCCACCCATCCTATAATTGTTTATTTACACACTGATTCCCCTCGCCAGAAAACCGCCAACGAGTCCAAGTCTGAGCAGGACGACGATACTTCTTCTGATTCCGAGAGTTCAGATTCTGGTTCCGATAGCTCATCTGAGGATGAGGGAGGTGCTCCCGTGACCAAGCAGCCAACCGAAGTTCCTACGAACATCCCAGCCGATGAGATCGTGATGAAGCACCGCCGACTGAGCAATGCCACTTCCGAACGAAGCCATGTTTCCGCCGCCGATATCTCCCCCGAGGCAGAGGAAGAGCCCAAGGAATCTAAGAAGGACAAGAAGAGCAAGAAGGGAAAGAAAGTAAGACTCGTTGAGCCTAAGAAGGAAGAGGAAGAGGCTGTCGAATCTGAGGCTGAGGTCGAGGAGCCCAAGGCATCTGACAAGAAAGCCAAGAAGGCCGAAAAGAAGAGGAAGCTAGCTGAGACCAAGGACAAGAAGGAAAAGGAGCCCGAGTCTGCAGCTCAGGCTGAACAATGGCAAGTCGATGATCTTGAGGGAGGCTCTGCTCGACAGGCCAAGTTCCTCCGACTTTTGGGTGGAAAGAAGGCTGGTGCTAGCGTCGCCGCCTCCCATAACACCAAGGGCGCATCCGACTCTACCAAGGCTGAGGCCGACATCCAGAAGCAGTTCGAGGCTGGTATGAAGATGAAGAACGATGGTGGCAGCAAGCGTCGTGGTCTTGGTGCATAGTTGTTTGACGCACAGTATATGTTTCGTGCTGGTATTCGCATTTGAAGCTGCCGGCTTGGCAGAAGCTCTCCTCATACAAAGAAAGGGTTGTTATTTAAATTCACGGTTCGCGGCATGGCGTCAGGTAGACAAAAAGCAAAGAAATAAACCCTCTTGTTCTGTTGTTCGAGAAGAAGTTAATGTATGTTGATTCCAGATTGCGCCTATTCTCCTGAGGTCAAAGTTCCTGCGAATTCAATACAGGTTCTCCCATGGCGAAATACAATTATATGTGTCCTTTCCCCCCTTCAGCTCCTCTGGACGGTGGACTGGTGTCCCGTGCTTGTCCATAGCTTTTAAATGATTCATAGACCCTTACTCTCCCAGATGCCAAGAAAAAATTGTAGTACCATCGCTGAGAGCGAGGTCTGGTCGGGGTATTGTTGTTTGTTGTTTGTTGTTTGTGTTGTTATAGTATAGAAAACTTCAATTGATGGAAGCTTAACCGAAGAATCGGGAGATACCCTCGAAGACGAGGCCACCAAAGATTACGAACCCAAGGATAGCTGTAGTGGCAAAGTGTTAGCAAAATGCAGCTCCTGTAACCATCGGGGTTCTTGTATACGTACAGAGCCAGAAGAGGGAGATGGGAGACTTCTGAACCTTCTCGACACGCTTCTTAATCTGACCCTCCGACTTGCCCATCTTGGCTTCATTGCCCTTGGCAAAGGCCTCGTTGCGTCGTCGCTGCTGGGGAGTTTGCGCCTACAAGGAAGTATCATGTTAGCTCCATCATGAGATCGACACTGGATTCTGTTGGAGGGTCCTGGCTGTGGCGTACCATTATGTCTGACTTGAGAGTCTGGATAAAAAGTCTGGAAAGAAATGTAGAGAAGAATTGAGTGTTGAACGGTTTCAAATATTGTCAATGGTCTTCGTCGCGTTAAAGTACTAAGATCGTATTAAGGGACAGATTTCAAGGGCCCGTGAGGGAATGGAAGTTTAAATGGGCTACTAACAATTTTGGGGACATGTGTTCCTTTCCCCTTAAAGACAGACAAGGGAAGGTGACAGGGGAGCCTAGATACCTACCTAGAGTGAAGACCGTCTCTTTCCCCCATCGGCCCCGCCCCCACTTCACTGCCACATGTGGCTGGTGCAGCTTGAAGCTTTATCGATATTATGCTGCTTTGCGTCTGTGAACTCTTCAACGAATTACCAACACAATGATTTCAACAACTTTAACGAGGCTACGACCTACGGTTTCGTCTAGAAGCCCAAAAATTATAGGAGTTTCTAGAAGAACATATGCGAACAAGCCACCAAGCCCAGTGGTATGTTTGCAAAAGTATTCGTAAGACTTATGTTGACAATCTGGCAGTCTCAATTCTATCGCACGTTCACTCGACCTATCGCAAAGACACTTCTCATTGCTGTCTTTACGTACCAATTGGCTTACTGGACTTGGGTGAAACTTGAAACAGATGAGATCCGTGCGGAGCGAGAAGGTTGGTAGCAAGACAGAATATGAGAAGATATGAGGGCTAACGAGTGAATGAATAGCAACGATAGAGAAACTTGAGACAACTATCAAGGATTATGATGCTGCTGCAAAGGCAAATAAGGCTTGAAGCGTTTAAATGAGATTATGGGGGTTCAAAACAACCCATTGTCTTTAGTTGTTCTGTGTAGAATACTGATACCTAATCACTGATGTTTATTCAAAATAGCCTTACCTGTATAAACGTATGAGCATCTTAACTTTGACATGAAATTCAGACTATCGCTAGATTTAATCTCAGATGCATCTCCGCAGAGGTCCCTCTAACAACAAACGCCCAGCATACCCAAAAAAGAAAACGAGAAATACACCTCTTATAGTATCAACCAGACCATCAATGATACAGCACTGAGCGCAAAAGCGCTTGGTCGAATAGTTACACTTGCACTAACCCTCGTCCTTGGCTCGCCGGGATAGTTACATGTTATACTCGAAATATCCGGATTCCGCCGTCCGTAGCTCACACTAAAACTTGGGAATCCAGGTTGTGGACAGGTGAAGCCTATCGCGGCGGGACATGCTTGAACAACTTCGTAGCAGACGTCCTCGCAGGGTAGCAACTCCTTGTACGGACCAGGCTTGACGGTTTCGTCGATCCAGGCGTTACGCGAGGAGTTATTTGCTGCGGCTTTGAGACCCTTGCGGAAATTATCAGGAAGCGTTGTTCCATTGGGAAAGGCTTGAAAAGCATCGCGAACAACGCTATATCTGCTGCCGCCCATAACATCCTCGCAGCGAGGTATCGTGACGGTGCAGAGCCAGCGCTTGTAGGCTTCACGACACTCATCGCAATCTCGTGCTAGCGAGTAGCGAGACTCAGGGGGTGCTTCGCAGGGTACTTGCATCATGACTCTTTCGAAATTGGCGTACATCTTTCTGGCATAATCATCGTAATGCTTGGCCAGAGCAGTATTATTGAACTTTTTGTCATTGCCAGGCACTGCATATTGTGTCTCGTTGCAGAAGTCCAGATTTGTAACCATCTTACAGTTTGTGCCTGATGATAGGTTAGCTAGTATTCAAGCAACTTGAAGCATAATTGATCTTACTGGACGAGGTTTCAAACGTGGTGGCCTTGTAGACAGTGCCTCCACCGCCTATGGTACGCCCAGACTTGGTATCTCGTTTGCTATCACTATCCGGCATCTTGACGAGGATTCCCGAGTATGTGGTACTGTGGTTGAGCCCTGCAACCAGGAATTGCTGCTTGGGCAATCCTCCTTGTCCTCGTGTCGTGAGGCCAGTCGTAACGAGATCGTTGTTTCGCCCAGTCTTCTTATCGTTGGCCCAAATTTCCGCGTGGTCCGCGAGGCCACAGGTTGAGTGTCGCAGGCCATCGATGGATCTTAATTTGTCGTCCCCGATAAATATCTGATATGGTGGCGGCCTCTTCATGATCTGCTGAGTCTCGTCCGAGTCCTGGGTCAAATCGCTGGTGAAAAGGAGGGCTGATGTTGAGTCAAAGTCCATCAACAGTAGTTGAGCAGTACCATTTTTGGCATCGTAATTGTGGTAGTACTCGTCGAAAGAAATGGCGATTTGGTATTTGTATTCTCCATCGGCCTTTGATATATTCGGAGCCACAACGCTGATGTATATGTCGTCGGTAGCATTCATAGTTAGCATAACTGCGCCCTCGTCGAATGGTATCCTGGCGGTATTAGGATTTGACTTGTTGTAATTGCCTGCCGTTGGGCACTTGATCTTGTTTGTTGTTGAAGTATAAAGACTGAGCTGCGGTGCCAGTTCTGTATTCCCGCTCTTGTCTTTAGTCTTTAGAGTTGGCCTGGAACAAGTATTGGCAGACACATAGACAGTCTTTGTCTCTGCTCGACGAGTGTTCTGATGCGCGGTCTCCCCGGTTGTTTTATGATCATCGTCCCTCTTGTCCTTCCCGAACAACGTCTTCTTATCCACAATGTAACAAACAGTCCCTCCAGGAATTATCGGTCTACTATCGGGGCCATTGTTCGTTAATAACGGTTGTTCTGGCGGGGCACGGCCAACAATACTGCGATCAAATGCCGCAAACTCTGGTTCGTATATCAATTCCGATGTATCGCTTCGTTCGATAAGTGTTTCAAAGTCGAAGACCGAGTTGGGTGATGAAAGTGTAGCTTCAGTGTTTCCAGGAGCGCAGAGCATCAAGCTCAATGCCAGAACTGATAGATAAGTAATTATCGACGTGGACGGTCTTGACGTGGGCGAATTGGGTATCATGATGGTGGCCTTTCCCTCCAGGGGCTTTTGCCTTTTCGTTGAGTTCGAGCTTGATTTATCGACACGCAATCAGCAAATGAACGTGCGGTTTTCTTCGCATGTGGTTGTTATTGACGCCGAGTTATCATCGTGAGCTCTCCCAAGACCGAATCATAGAGAGCATTAGTTATCGTGGTGAAAAGACGGAAAATACGAAACAAATTGAACGGTTCAGCGCAGGATAAGATGCTAACTTAGTCGTTGAGGCTGACAAGCATGTGCCGTCCACTTGTTGATGCGCCAAGGAATCGAGAGTCGCAAGGGGAAGTGAGGCGCAGTCAAAGGTTAATTCGGGAACGGCACAGCCACAAGCACACTCAGCTTCAACAATAGAATCGGTTCGGATCTTTTTTTGGGTCTGGGCGAACGGGTACAAAGCTCGGGCCACTAAAAAAGGGTTCTGTGGCCACTACTTACCACTACGTCAAGTGTAAGTCAAGTCAGGCCAGATCGGATAAGATTGGATCGCAGGCCAACAAGCTTGGAGCTTGGCCACCAGTGAGAAGTTAACGATTAGTGACATAGCAATATATGTTGATATTTTGAGACAGCTGAGCACGCGACAGTTGCAGTTGAATGCTTATAGAACGCGGGAAATACCCGATACCTTACCATGGGTATTTAATTGCAAAACCAAAGATGTGGGGTAGGCAAACGGTATACCAGCAATACGTGTTCTCATGAAGCTCCAAAAAGAGCATCTCTCAAAGCAAAACAAGATATTTCTAGTGCATTCATTCATCACACAAAGTCATCCACACGATACGAGTCTTCCTGAACAACCCAGCAGTCCAATACAGCTTCTCTAGCTGGTGTAAATCCTAACCCTGGCCAGTCCTCCTCCTCATTCCCTCCAATTTGCGTAGCGTGGTTTTGAAGCTGAGTAGTTCCTATAAATAACCATTTCCTGTTCCTCTAATACCGAGATTGCTTGATCCGGGGCATGCGACAATTCGCAAGAGTTAGTTTGGCGATCAAGCTAAACTTTGGAGACCGTTTACTCGGTCTTGTCGAGGCCGTCAGCCTTGGCGCGGAGGCCAGAGGCAGTCGAGCCAGTCTGCTGGAAGTATCGGCCGAGGGTAGGGGCCAGGAAAGATCGGAAGATGAGCTCAGCACCCCTAACCAGTTTCTGTCAGTATTTGAAGCGAATCCTCCGGATAGCGGGGCAGCAAGACCCGCATGGCAACTTACCGGAAGGCAGGGAGAGAGAGCCAGAGGAGGAAGATAAACTTGAAGACGTAGTAGAAGGGGAACCAGTAGACGACCTGGACGAAGCTCTCAATCACAGTGAAAAGAGAGAATACGACCCAGTACTGTAAAACTAGTTAGCGACCGCTTGTGATCGTAGGAAGCCTCGGCAAAGCCCGGGATCAGCTCCGATGGTAGGAAAAAGGCCACGTACAGTCAACCACTGAGTATCATCCTCCTTGTTGTGAGTGAAGAGGGCACCAAGAGAGTAGTAGCCAGGGATGACGAAACCAGCGAGGTTGGTCAGAAGCTGGCCTCCGAGGTTGAAGATAATGAGGAAGAAGTAGAGAGCGCCGACACCGATGGCGGCATAGGCTTTGGGAACACCAGCCTGCTTCTCGAGGTTGTTGAGGGCGGGGTACTTGGAGAGCTATACGGATGGCATCAGTGTCAGCATTTTGCAAGGTAACGTTGCGCAATTTGTGCTCGACTGCAATGCGGCGGCTATAATCGCAGGGTGAGGGGATATGCGTACCTCGCGGTCGAGCTGACCAAGGTACTGCTGAGCCTTATCTTGGGCGGACATTGTTGGTTATGGCAGATTTTATGTGAGTGTGGTTTTGTCAAAGAAGTTGTGATGCTGTGAGAGAGTTGAAAAAAAGGTGTTGGAGGGGTTGGTTGTGTGGTGTATTGAAATAGCTAACTTAGCGTCCAATACGTAAGAGGAGTTGAATGGGCTGGAAGAGGGCAGCTTTTATCGTGGCGCTAGCTGCAGCTGAGATGGGGGGAAGATATGGAACCCAATCACTGAGGTACAAGGCCTAGCGAATCTTGGAAGCAGGAAGAAAATTGACGCGGAGACAATCAGTGACAATGACCGAGAGTGACTGTGTGTCAGTGGCTTGTGACCCTGTAAGTTCGGGGGTTTTTGCGAGATGAAGTGCTAAGTTGATCAGCAAGACGATTGAGGCTTGTGATGTTGTGCAGGTGATGAATATTTTACTCATTAGTATGAAAACTGTATCAGATTGTATTCATATAAATACTGTGTATTTTGCAGTTGACTTTTTTCAATTTTTGGTCACATATACATATCTCCTGATAGAGAGAGCAATCCGAACGTACGTCAGATTGGACGATTCCAGGTATGACGCAGTGTACTTTGTTCCCTAGCGCCGTTGCACACTATCACATGTACCTACAGCAAAAATGAAAGAATTACATCATTCGGGAGGGCAAACCTCAACGGTTTGGAGGCTACATACAGCGGGACGCAGGAAACTTGCATAAATCTCGGAGTATTGGATTCTGCAGTGATAGTATGAACATATATATGTATATGTCCGTCATAAGTGGTTCCTAGGATATCAAACATATAAATTGTTATGCTATAGGGTCGAGACACAATGAATTGTGGCAGATGTAAGCAAACAAGGTACGAAGTACAATGTCGTGATATTTGTATGGGAGGACTGCCGCGAGCTTGCAGAAGTTCGTGATAGAAGAAAGAATATGTATAGTAATCATCTGGACTCTTAATAACACTAAGATGCTCATCGTCTGATACTCACCGTCTTTATGCCGTTTGTTAGCTAGATGTCTCGACGGTTGTCCGGGCCCAGGCCTATTTATCTGTCTCGTTTGCTTCCCTTGGGGTGGATTGTGACTGATCGTGATCTCGTGTCCATATCATACGCAGAACATGTGCTTCGCATCTCACATCTCCCCTGGACAACTGAATCTCTGCCAAGAAGCTGGACGGAGGTTGAACCAGTCTCTGTCTACGAAGATTCACGTTGCAGTGGACGATCATGGGCCGTGAAGGGCAACGGAGATCTCCTCCATAACTGAGAACGCATCCGAGTTCTCGCGGTGAGCACCTTTGGCCGGGGATGGTATAGCAGTTTCAAGCCTCAAAACACAGATCGAGGGCATCGTAAAAGAAGCAATGATTCGCAGCCAGTCAAATCTCGTTTCTCATCATAACAGGAATTTCGGCTAATTTACCATACCCTTCCAATGAGAGCCGGGTGAGACAAGCCAATAGAACAAGTGGATAACGCCCCCGCTCTGGCTGCGAGCAAGATTACCTAACTGAACTGAACCACCGACCATCCATTTCTCGTTGACCTCGCAACGACAAAACAAGGACAACAACAGCTCCAGGAACGTCAAATTGTTACCCTCAGCGCCGCGCCATATTGCACCCGAGTAGCTCCTTGCGCGGCATCTTTGAAACGAGTTTCTTTCTATTCAGCTTCCGCTGGTCTTTTTTTCCCTTCTCGCGACTCTCTTGAGGTCCCTTTTTCACTCGAGTTTCATTGTTATTGACGTCGGCGCATCCGAACACCCCAGCCCAGCCAATGTTTGTTGTTTAGCCCGCCCACAAATTCCTCTCTTCCGTCAACCAAGTCAACACAAAGTCCCGGTCGGTTCAGGTTCAGCCCAGTCCAGCCCAGTCTCGTCTCGTACCTCACTCAATTAAGTATGGAGCATAACAGTAGGTTTACTTTCTCCCTTGTTTTTCTTCCCAGACAACCCCATACCCAAACAACCTCATCTCCTCCTGCTTGAGGCACCTAGTACGGACGCGCTACTCAGTGGGAAAGTCTAAACACACAACACAACATAACAATCTTTTAACTTCGCTGCTAAAGCATAACATCCCCTCATTTTATTCATGTCAAGCTACAAAGTCTCCGGTTGTTGACAAGTTCAATTCAGTGGATATAACAGACCAGAATCAAGCTCAAGGTCCAACCACCCGCGCCGCCGTCAGATCGACTCGACGACCGTTATCCCGTGCTTCAACAGCTTCCCTCAACAGCTTAGAGCAGCCTGCCTTTCCCGACGCTTCAGACATGTACAACGCGCAATGGATGACGGCCCAGCATGGACAGGTTCATCCAAATGGCCAAATACACCCAAATGCACACGTCCACGGTCATGCTCAGGTTAAGGACATGAACACGCCTCAGATGTCAGCAGAGGATATCATGATGGCTCAGCAACTCCAAGCAACCCAGGATTTCTCAATGGACGCCTCAATGAGTGCACCAATGGGTCACCAGATGCAATATCAACAACAAAAACATGCCATGCAAAGGCACCCGTTACCCGCTGAGCAGTATAACAGCCATGCCAGTTTCACCGAGGGAGATAGCCAAATGATGGAGAGGGACGACAACGACGAGAACTCCTTTGCTGGAATGATTGGAGCCCCAAAGCCCGCGTCCAATAGATCGAGTGCAAATAACGAGATTGAAATGAGAGCTCTATTCAAAGCCAACGAGCATCGCAGCCTCCCTGACGTGGCCAGCGAGCTTCATGGAAATGAACGAGGTCCAAACTCAGAGCGAACCCGACAGGTTTTTGCAATGCTCTGGTACGTCGTGAAATGTTTACCATATTTTGCAACAGGTATGCTAATCGCCCCATAGGATCCATGGCGTCTGTGAAAGGGGCAAGGGTTCCGTACCTCGAGGACGAGTATACGCCAACTACGCGTCGAGATGTGCTACTGAACGAATCACCGTACTTAATCCCGCTAGCTTCGGGAAGCTTGTTAGGGTGTTGTTTCCCGGTCTAAAGACACGGCGACTCGGTGTTCGCGGAGAGTCCAAATATCATTATGTGAACTTCACACTCAAGGAGGACCAGGCCGAGGTTAGGGAGCCTTCAGTGCAGCCAACCCGCGCTCTACCAGAACCTCCGGCCTTCACTCAAAGCTTCAAGTTAGCTTTATCCCTGACCGTAATTTGTATGTGCTTGCTAACAGAAGTAGCACTCTTCCTTCGCAGACGACTATCAGTTTGAGCCAAGGGGCCCTTCCGTCCCCTCAAATTGGCAGCACTGAGACCAACTCGGCCCCAGTATCGCAAAAGTCCGGCTTCCAGTCACGTAGCATATACAACCAGCCACAGATTGCCAACATTGCCCACCTCAGCTCTAGCACAACAAAGACTCAGCTCGAACTGGGCTTCCGTCCCGAGTCTGATGGGCCTGTTGACCCTGAGGAACCTCTTATTCTTCCTAACCTCGAGCCTTACCTCCCTCAAGGCACCGACCCCGACGCTGCCAAGTCTCTATTCGCATTGTATCGCGCCCACTGCACATCACTAGTCGATTGTATCCGTTTCTGTAAAGAGAAGACCTTCTTCCATCTTTATGGTGCTTTCCAAGGGACTCTCACCATGCCTGTGTTGAAACTGTTTGGGAACCCGGCCTTGGCTCCTTGGATTGAGGAGTGTGATTTCATCCTCTACCAGCGTATGATGAGCATCGTATCTGGTTTGAAACTCCAGGTTGTTCCTAAGTATGTTTTGGATATTTTCAGGTCCATATCGGATAGACTCGTGATGCACATTCGTGAGTCTTTTCAAGGCCAGCCACAGCACGTAATCCGTGCTAAGGAGGGGCCCGCGGCACTCTTTGTTGGACTCATCGACCGCGCGCTGAGAGTCAACTTGACAGCTCACGCTGCTGCTAATTTCCTTTCATCCCGTGAGCAGCGTAATCAGATGTATATCGACTGGATCACAACAATCCGGCCTCGAAAGATTGCCGAATGTGTTCCTACTCGGGGTATGGACGATGTTGTGAATCTTCTGCTTAACGAGATTCGAGATCTCGTTGATCCCACAGACGTGCCTTGGGAGGTGGAATGTCTCACTATATATGGAGATGTTTTGTCGCGCAAAGGTCGGCCATCTGATAGTGATGTCGACGGTGGCGCCGAAGCTTCCGGTGAAAAGGGCGAGTCATACCAGCTTGATCGTTGGGTAACATTCCTCAACAGTCTACCGACCAGGTTCCCTTACGCCTCAGCCAGCGACATCATGCTATGCGTCGAGAGGATTGGTACTGCTGTGATGCGAGACCTCACCATGAACCAGGGTAAGAGCTTCAGTTCATGGTGGGTGACCAAAACATGGATAGATGAGCTGGTCTGCTTTATGGTGGAGGAGGGAGGATTTATGAAGCAAAAAAGGAGCCAGACAACATGGTCGACAACGCCCACACCACCCCAAGCAACAAAAGACACGAGCCGGCAACCCTCCCGATACAGCGGCGGTAGTGACGAATTCAACCTGAACAATTCATCACAAAACCAAGGGGAACGCGCTCCCTTCCCCCCAGCCAACAAACCCAACCAGAACTCGATGGGTATGAGTGGGGGCGATGTCCACGACGATAGCGGAATCGGTATTAGGACGCCCGAGGAAGACTTCCCCATGGACAAGTTTGGGTTCACCGGCACAGACAACCAGGAGCATGCCCTATTGGAAGGGGCAGAATTCACTGTTGATGAGCTTTGAAGGACTTCAAGCAAGGCCGCAAGGCCCGCGCGCGCGTGTGTGTGTATGGGTGTCTACCTGACACGGTGATTGGCGTTCCGGGATTGGGATATCGATTATACCCTTGGTTGATTTATATTAATACAGTTGTCAGTGTTTCCCAGAGGAGGGTGTCCTAATTGCCAGACATGATGGGACGATGGAACGACGACATGATGATGGCCTAGAAGCAGAAGCGGGAAGTGAAGTGCGCTGAGTTTGGCGAATTGAGCGAAGGGGGCCTGGAAGACTGGAAGATAGAGGATTGGGGATGATTGTTTCTGTGTACACATCAGCTGAAAGGTTTGGTTCTGGAGTTTTTGAGCATAAATGGTGTCGGGTTTGGCAAAGGCGCACCATGAGAACCCATTGGGAGGGGTTGATTTCTTCGCATCGTCAAATACACTGCAGGCTTTTGGCTGATCGTATTATCCCTTTGTTCCTTTGTAAGTGAGGAATGCCTTACCGTCCCATTCTCTCTTTTGTTATAATAATAACAAATCACTCTGAGCTCTATGTATAATGAATGACTGACTGTCGACGACGATGTAAGTGAGTCGTCTCTGGTGGGGTAGCTTGAGTGGAGTTTAAGTTATTAGCGTAGTGGGGGTCATGAATCTCTAGTGAGCTTAACCTAAACGTGTGTACCTACCTACCTTAATGAAGGACGAAGCCGAAGCCGGAACCTGTAGCAAGGTCGAGTCATACCATTTACTGAATATTATAGAGGGAGCACCCCTGTATGAGCTGTTATTTCGGAGGCAACGTCGGTCTTGTTCTCAAATACTGACTCTAGAGTCCATAGGATGATGCTACAACATGAGCCATATATAAATAATATTTCTTGTCTTCATTTATAGTCCTTGGTTCTTGAAACTTGATATATACATCTGTGCCTCCTTTCTGTTGAGACGTTGTTCTTGACCGCACTTAATCGTCTTGAAAGTCAAGCTCCGTTCCCGGACAACTGATTTCATATCCAGTCTTTGATATTGGATATTCGCATTTAGAGCCTCAAACCGTCGGTCGCTGTGTCAATACCGAATTTACTTTCATCTTTGTCTAGGGGATTGCAATTTGGTACTGGTTTCAGTATTCGATAATACGCCAATCGTATCCAATTGCTGTCGATCTCTCATCCATCTACACTTGGCACCTCTTTACGCTTCAATTGGATTCAATCTATTGACTGCACTGTCGCATTCTACAGATCATATCATACGTACTCCTCATTATACCACCATTTTCGTATCTCTTCACCTTGAGGGTACTGATTCAGGAATTCCGGAGGTGGTTCGGCGCTTGTCCGTGGGTACAGTGCCTCAATAAAAGATCGGTCGGTACCTTATTAGTGCCTCAATCGAGCTCAATTTTTTTTTTTTCCCTCGTCGTTACTCAGCCGGAAAAAAAGGAACTCCACCACCATTACTCTCTGAATCAGCCTTAGTTTTGGGGGATCCACGTTTCAGAGACTCGAATCTTTGACATCTGGTTTTGAACCTCGAAGAAAAAGCAAACATGGGAAGCCTCTCGCATTGCAATTCGCCGTCTCTCGGCTGGGTCGTTCAAAAATTCGGCGGCACAAGCGTGGGCAAGTTTCCGGATAAGGTTTGTTGACTCCCGTTGAGCTTCGGAGAGGCATTATTCTGTGGTTTTTATACACATGGCTAACTAGGACGTGCAGATTGCTACAGATATTGTCAGGTATGATATTTCCCTGAAGATGTTTGGATGTGGAAAAGAAAGAGAAAGAGAGAAATGGCTTGAAAATGTCTTTTATGACTGTAACTGACCCCGCCAATAGAGCCAGCTTGTCTCAAAACAGAGTCATCGTCGTTTGCTCTGCCAGAAGCACGGGCAAGAAAGCTGAAGGAACCACTAGTCGGTACGTCTATGCTCTGGTATTTTCATAAACAGAGACTGTCTATAACGTCAATTGGCATGATCGGAATACTAATGGCGCAATAGACTACTCGCCGTCTATGGCAAGCTCCGAGGTGTCGGCGCCGCCATGTGCGTCGATGAGGAGCAGCAGAACGAATTGGTTGAGCAAGCTCGTGGATTGATGCTTGATATCTGCAACGATCATGTCTTTGCTGCTGAGGCTTATATCCAAGATCCTTCTATACGTGGAAAACTCATTCAGACAATCAAGGATGAGTGTCAAGAGCTGGTCGAGTATATCGTCGCTGCGAAGCGATTTAACCTTGAGATCAACTCAAGAGCAAAGGATCGTGTTATCAGCTTCGGTGAGAAATTGAGCTGCCGTTTTATGGCGGCTCTTTTGCAGGATAAGGTGAGTAATACGCTGTTGACTTATATCTATGAGTTTCACACTAACATGAACCAGGGCGTCGAGTCTGAATATGTCGACCTCTGCGATTCATTCCACTATGATGCTAGCGAGAGACTCGACGACAAGTTCTACCGCACTGCTTCAGAGGCTTTTACCCGTAAGATCGCCGCTTGTGAGAGCCGCGTCCCTGTCGTTACCGGTTTCTTTGGCAACGTTCCTGGCAGTCTCATCGATGGTGACATCGGCCGTGGCTACACTGATCTTTGTGCGGCCCTCTGTGCTGTAGGCGTCAAGGCTGAGGAACTCCAGGTCTGGAAGGAGGTTGATGGTATCTTTTCAGCCGATCCCTCCAAGGTGCCCACCGCACGCCTACTCTCGTCTATCACACCCTCCGAAGCAGCTGAGTTGACATTCTATGGCTCAGAGGTTATCCACCACCTCACTATGGACCAAGTGATCCGTGCTGAACCGCCGATCCCTATTCGCATCAAGAATGTCAAGAACCCTCGCGGCAATGGCACTATTGTCGTTCCTGACCGCATCCTCTCGGCCAGCCATCAACTTACACGGGACTCTCCCAAGCCTCAGGTAGAACACAAGAAGCCGAAGCGACCTACAGCCGTCACCATCAAGGACCACATCAGCGTGATCAATGTGCATTCGAATAAGAGATCGATTTCGCACGGATTCTTCGCTCGCGTCTTTTCTATCCTGGACACTTACTCCATCTCGGTCGATCTTATCTCTACTTCTGAAGTTCACGTCTCTATGGCTATTCACTCGAGCAGTCAGCAGGTCGAGGCTTTTGGTAAAGCCACCAAAGAGCTTGCTGAGTGTGGTGATGTGAGCGTGCTCAATGACATGGCTATTCTGAGCTTGGTTGGTGCTGAGATGAAGAACATGGTCGGTATTGCAGGCCGCATGTTTTCTACTCTGGGAGAACACAATGTCAACCTCGAAATGATCTCACAAGGTATGCATGAATCTCATCTTTAAAGAGAAGTCCACTAACGAAGTTGAACAGGTGCCAGTGAGATCAACATCTCTTGCGTGATAAGTGCACGGGATGCTACTCGGGCTATGAATGTGTTGCACACACATCTCTTCACATTCCTTGAGTGAACGACATGTAGGAGCATGATATATATGGCATTCGCATGCAATGGGAGTTGGTAGGGGTATCCTTACGGACTTGAGTTTTTGTATAGGCAACTCGTTCTGCAGTGTGTTTGACCATGTTGTTCAAAGGTGTTTTTGGAGTTTTGCTGGTAAAAAAAACTGGGTTAGAGTTGGCATGATGGATATATAGCATTGAAAGGGCAGACGATTTATATCAACTATTGTTTTAGAAGGGAATTTCAACGATAACTCTCATGGATAGACTATTAGGGGCGAAACTAAAAAAGAGGCTGTAAGTAGGTAAGTTCTATAACTTTAAGAAACATCCTTATTTCTGGAGGTACAGGGTAAGCTCGGATGCCACCTCCAACTTCATCGTTGATGCGGGGCACATGTGGGTGGACTGCAACTTCCCCCCTGTCAGAGCTAACCAGCAGCTTCCATTCGCAAGATGTAACATGACCCAGTCCAACAACTTCCTTTTCTTACAACTAACTCACTGTGAGTTATAAACATCACTAAAATCACAAAGAGACGCAAACTACGACCGACCCAACAAACCCGAAGCTCGAGTAGTCTTCCAATGTCGGTATCGCTATAGGTGGAGAGTCCCGCTGCCATATGCTAGACCAGATCATCTAAATGAACGGATTGGAGGACGCCCCATGGCATCGCAGAGGAAACAATCGTTGAACAGCGACCACGAGGAGACAATTTACCTAGAGGGTATCTCCAAACACGAGACAATATAGAAACGACCGAAATCGCGATAGATATACCTCTCCAATCATGTACAGGTCCAAAACGGGTGCTGCCAATCGTGGCAGCATCCTTAGCACTCTGAAGGCGGCTGAGATGCTCGACACGAAAGCCAGTCTTCCAGCGGGTATGCAAGATACCAGGTTCGCGAGAACGAGCGCCTGCGACTAACATGACATCCAGAGATACTGGTGACGATCCTCGATTATTTGCCAGTCGCCGATCAGCTGCGCTTTGCCCGCGCATCACACCGCATGCGAGATATGGTTTACGATGACACTAGATGGGTCTCGAGATTAAAGAGCATGGATTGTTGGGACGAAGCCGAGGCTCGTCGTCGATTCGAGGACGCAGTGCGACGAAGACGAGAAAGTGCAAATGCAGCTGCAAAACAAGCCAAAGGGCTTGCAAGCCCCACGCAATCTACAGGAACAACACTATTCGATGCCTCATTAGAGGAGGCCAAGAACCGCGCCGTGGCAGATATTCGTGATGGTTTCGAGACGATGGCGGTGGGGGCTTCAACAAACCCCGCCGAAGACCCGGCAGCATATCTGGATGTCTTCAAAAAAGCAAGGAGCATTCGGGGTGGCGCGAGGCATGAGTATGGCAAGATATACGGCGCCTTGGCTCCCTTCTACTTTGATTTGGTGAAGGCAAGGTCTCATGCGGACCCTATCGTCTTCCAAGCGTTTCGCGACCCAGAGAAACAAGCGCAAATGCTCGCAAATCTTAAGAGATTCGCTCATAGCGATTGGTCAACTGGATGCCAGGAGCGAGAGGAGAAGCTCTCATCAATGATGGGGATTTTTGAGAGTGCTGTCCTACGGGAGTTTGAGCAAGGATACGAATTCTGGGACGTTGACGGACGAATGCATCGCTACGCACATGTCCTGCACACACTTGATGGCGCCACTGGAGGGATAGATCTCTTTGTGCATAAGCACCCTATTTTCAATGATGATGAGTTATTGGTGGTAAACGCGATGGACTGTCTCAACCAAGCGACACAGGACGAAAGCATCATACTCGAACCTTCACGGCTGTTCTTCGAAAAGTTGCTGGCCAAAGTCAATGAGCAGGCCTCAGTGATGCAACGCATCTTTCCTAATCCTGAACATGTATTCTGGATATTTGTGGAAAAGGTCAGGGAGGATATTATCATGGAGTATTCAACACCACTGTTCGACGAGGCGCATGAACGTAGTATGGAGGCTTATTTGAAAGCCGTGTCGGGCGTTTTTGAGCAGACGATGCTTTTCTTTCAGTCTCTTATACCCCCTGAAGGGTCCAAGCGGGATGTCAAAGAGATGGCAAAGGAGCTTTCACTGCGCGTCTTCGAGCCGCATTTAGACTTATACCTCCAAGCTGAGCTAGACTTCTTCACAAATCATGCTGACACAGAAGTGGCAAGCTGGGAGAAGAAGCTTTCTGAACAAGACTCGTCCCTGGAGTCGTTCTATATGTCAAACATCAATCGCTCAGCCGACAAGAAGGACTTTTTGAGCTCTTTCAAGAAGGTCGTTATGATGCCTGTTACTGTGCTACCCAGCTTTCCGATGGGATCTCCTTTCGCAACTAGCAAACCCGCATCATCGAGGCCTACATCAACAGTGTCAAAGGAGCTGAATGGCTCTGGGACACTTACACCGCAGCCCTCGCGACCTGAGACGCCCAGTCTGGCACTTGATGGCCAGAGGACGCCATTGCCTGCCCAGGCACCAACGGATGAGCTGGCAGCCAAGGCTGCAATCATGGCGTCGAAGCTTGAAGGTATCAAGTCGCTTTTCAGCATTGAGGTGGCGCTCAACCTGGTGCACGCTGCCAAAACCAGCCTGGGACGTGCTTCAGTTTTCATTAGTCTTGGTGGACAAGCTGGTGGAGAAGCTCGAGAGCAGTGTGCGACTATATTCGTGGTGTTGCTGCGTATCTTGGGGCAGAAGCATGTCAAGACAGGCTTTGATATGGCTGTCGACCATCTGTCGCACTATAACCCGCGAGAGGTTAACGATCATAACAAAGCGGGCGTGGCACCGCTCGTCACTTTCATCGAGCTTGTCAACGTCGGTGACCTTATCTCACAGATGATTGACGTTTTCTATGAGCAGCAACTTGCCACCCCGAAAATTGCTGACCGCAACGATTTCTTGGACCCAGCGGGTCTGGCTAAGAAGAAGTTTGAGCAAATGCTCGACGAAAGTGTTGCGGCCGGCCTAAATAAGGGTATCGATGTCCTGATGGACGAAGTTGAGTATCTTCAGGGCACAACTCAACCACCTACAGATTACAACCCAATTGATCCCTCAACGGCTACATCGTCCTCTGCATTTGGATCTGGATTTGGTGGCAGCTCTAGCACCGTCGAGAAGCCTGCCGTGCCTGCTGCAGAGCCTGATATTGGCCCCACAGCCACAGCAAAGCGCATTGTAGAGCTTGTCTCATCACACACAAAAATGCTTGTCGGTACAACAGATAAGTCGATGCTTGATGTGTTCAACGGCGAGGTTGGCCTTCGTCTTTTCACAGCGATCTGTAAACACCTCAAGCGACAACGTATCAGTACCGAGGGCGCGATTACTCTCATTGCTGATATGAATATCTATTATGAGTATATTCGAACGTTGCGTAACCCTGATCTGCTCGCATACTTTGCTGCTCTTCGTGAGCTTAGCCAGATTTTCTTGATTGACCCGCGACATGCGCGTGAGATGGCCACAGTTATCGCAGATGGCGATCGCTTTGGTGGCATTTTCCGAGCTGAAGAAGTCTACGAGTATGCGCAGAGAAGGGCGGATTGGTATCAAGTCCGAAAAAGTGTCGAGAGAGCAATGTATGGGCTTGAGTGTGTGCTTATGTGAGTAAATAGAATAGAACTTGGGTGATTGGATATACTTGCGAAATCGAAATGTCAATATCACGAAGATATGCTGAGAGCGAGCGCTTGGCTATGAGATATATATGGATGGGTTCAAATTTATGATGAAAAAGAGATCTGAGTATCTAATAAAATGTCCCATTTTGAGCAAGCTATGTCCTTGGCGACTTTGTCGCGTATTCGTCTCCTTATTCTGTATATATCCGAACGCCCAAGAATGCTCACCCGAATTACCTGTCATGTGTTCATTAAAGTCTTCTCTCTACGTCCCGTCTCTCCATATCTATTTCATGCCGCCAAAATCAAGCTTGCGTGCGACTTTGGAGCCCCTGTCATCGTCAATTACGCCTGGTCTTCGCTTTAGATCAGCGCCCATCTTGTCATCAGCCCCTGCGCCACCCTTTCGAGGCAAATCTTGCTTGCGGGTAGGCTTAGGCTCAGAATGCCACCAAGGATGCTCAAGCATACCACGGGCAGTGATGCGCTTCTTGGGGTCGAGAATAAGTGTCTTCATTAGCAGGTCCACACCGTCGGAACCAACAGTACCGAAGCGCATCTCATACCAGTCCTTACCACGGACCGGGTGTTGTCCAGGAACAGCATAGCCAGGAAGTTTAGTGACACCAGGCCAGTTATCATCGGTGGGCGTACCGACAAGTTCGCAGACAAGTCGAACTTGGTCAAGGTCTGTGTTACCGGGAAGATAAGGCGCACGCATAATGAGTTCAGCGAACACAGTGCCAACAGACCAGACATCAACAGCACCGCTGTAGTGCTTCGCGTCGAAGAGAAGCTCAGGCGGTCGGTACCAGCGAGTGATTACGCGTGAGGACATGAGTTGATGAGGATCGGCGAAGCTTCGCGCAAGACCAAAATCAGCAAGCTTGACTTCACCATCATCAGCGATCAACAAGTTGTTTGGCTTGATATCACGATGGAGAACAAAATTCTCGTGGCAGAACCAAACGGCACGGGTGAGCATGCCCATCCATGTCTTGATGTCAGCGGCACCGTAGCGCACGGATTCGGTATCGCGAATAAGCATTTCTAGATCGCCACGGGGAAGGTACTCGAGGACAAGGTTGAGGTTCTGATCTTTTGACGAGAATACGGAAAGGAGAGAGATGATGTTTGGGTGGGAGAGCTCCTGGAGGTGCTTCAATTCGCGGACGGCGTCGGGGGCCATGCCCTCATCGTATTCCTTCTGGACCTTGATCTTCTTGATGGCGACGAGAGTGGTGGGCTTGGAGCGCAAGTGGCCTAGGAAGACAACGGCGTATGTACCCTCACCGAGCTTCTTGCCTAGGCATTGTTAGATCAACGCTTGAGGTGTTCAACGCTGTAGCATACCCTTGACGTATTTGCGCTTCTCCTCATCGTTCATCTGCTCTGCAAGATCGAGAGTCGTGGGAATACTCGTCGGCGCAGGCGCTGAAGTGACAGGAGGCATAGGTGTTCCATTGGAAGAAGATGTTTGCGAAGTAACGTTCTTTAGAGGCGAAGAGATTGCGCGCCCGAAGCTTTGCGGCTGCGCCGCTTCAACGGTGTGCGTTACGACTGGTGAGAGCGCCATGTTTGATGTTGATGGTTAACAAAGATGATTGTGGATAGTGATTGAGGAGCCGGAACGGCCAGCGGAATGGCGTTGTGAGGCCTATTTGTGTGCTCGAGGTTTTTCGAGGAGAGATAATTAATAATGAGTGACTGAATGTTGATATGACCAGTTGGTCTGACTCGAGCGTTGAGGTTTATGGAAGTTGAATTAAGCTGAGTAGATCGTGGAGATGTTAGGAAGCTTGTTAAAGAGCTTATCGTTATCGCCAATTCGAGATCGGAGCATCGGAACTTATCACGCCGATAAGCTCCATGCCCGTCCTTCCAATTCTAGAGATTTGAGGTACGGAGTACATACTCCATCTTTCGACTTAGACCATCCAAGAACATCACTTCTCTCTCCTTTCCTTACCTTACCTACCTACATTGGGTATTATCAAATTGTATGTTCTTGACACGAAAGAAACGCGAATATCCTGGCTTTTAGCCACCCTAATTGACTTTGCGTGATGCACACAGGCAACCGGCGGTATTATTCTTGCCTTACAGCCTCATTGAAAGCATAATGGTCGTATTCAGTGCCTTCTGCTCTAGCAAAGATGCTCGTCACCTGTGGAAACGAGGAAACCATGGTGCCTTCAAGTGAAAAAGGCACGAAGGTGCTACAGTAACGGTGTTGTGCCTCGGCGGTTTTGGCCTTCCTTTGACTGTCCGCGAATACGGTTATACGGACGCCTCGTGAGGGGCATGTTTCGAGCACCAGATCTCTGAAGCAACCTTTCAAAATACGTGAAAGTGATGAGTATGAGGCTTCGAGAATCGTGGGAAGGTGGTAGTTTTGAGCTGATGGTATGGCATATCTTGCCTGCAATTGCTCGTATATACCATAGAGTTGACTTTTCACCGGTTGCCAGCATGACTGCCCGTCTGATGGCTGAAGAGTTCATCATCGTGGCTTGGGGATCATCAGCCGATGATTCTTTGAACTCAGAAGAGTCTCTGGCATGAGACGGTAAACACGAGCTACAATGGTTATTTAAGACTGCTTTGATTCTTGATCTGTTCTGTCTTTCTCGGTGTCGTTCTTCACTTTCGTTACAGCCCCTGAACACTACTTCCACTCTTTGTGATCTGTTGCAGGCTTCAAACATGAGACTGTCTCTACCTTTCATTGCGCTCTGCGCAGCACCGGCCGTTATTGGTTTTGTTATCCCATTGGGGATCAATCATAAGGACCACGATCACCATGATCACGACCTGGTCAAGCACCACCACAAGCACCACGATCATAAGCACAAGCATCTTCATCCCCATGAGCATATCCACGTCACCAAGCACAAGCATCCCGAAAAGCCTTGCCCTATCCTCACTGAGGAGAAGACATGCAAGCTCTTTCACTATGCCACCAAGGACGTTGAGGAGCTCATTCATGCTGTGCAGACCTATGACTGTGGCAATGAGGCGGAGTGCTGGCATGTGAGTTGCTCTCTTGAATCCAAAACTTTGATATGACTAACACGAAACGAAAGAAAATTGTTCACAAGATCTACAGCCTTGAGTATGGGCTAGATGCCTTTGACAAGTACGTGGACAGCACCACTCTCAAGAAGTGCTTGACCTGTGGAAACGACTCTCCTGTCGTTGGCTGCTTCCTTCACGTAAGCTACACGAAAAGACTCTTCAGGGGTTACTGTGCTAATACGACTCTAGTATGCCGATGCTCTGATCCGCCTCCTGAAGCTCCTGCGGCACCAAACCAAGACTCTTGATGGAGAGGTTGAACGACCCGTCCTCACTGCCATCAACAGTCTTCGTGTTTCCAATTATGTGAGTTGCCCTTGATATGAGGAAAACTAAGACTCACATACTGACTTTGAATAGGCGTTGGTCTATGAGATCGGTCGCCGTATTGAGTGCAAGAAGAGCCTCAAGATCATCATGTCCAAGCAGGGAGCCAACGATGGCACCACCAAGGGCAGTGTCCAGGCTGCCTTTGCGAAGTTCCCTTACACTCCCCTGATCACAGGCGAGAAATTCGAGAACGGAGTCGCGCTGGACAAGACCGACGGCAAGGGTGACTCCGAGGGAGACGGAGAGAATAAGCACAAGAAGGTGCACAAGCACTACCACAACCATCACCACGGGCACAAGCATGGGCACAAGCACGGGCACGGACATGGCCACCTCCACGAACACGGTCACCTCCACGGACATAAGCACGGGCACAAGCACGAGAATGAGCATCACGATGAGCACAAGCACGAGGATAAGGATCCTGAGCACGAGCATGAGTATGATCATCACCACTAGGATCCCCACGATCCCCCACGATGAGGTTCGTGTCAATGATGGAGGTCCTGAACTTCTGAAAAGAGCCGTGACTAACAGTGAGTCCAGTAACTACGACAGACATAACAAGCTCGAACGCCGCTGGAGACACTGTTGTAATTATGTAACATGGTGCTATGACTACTGTGGACGACCATATCGATGCTGCGTGTGTTGAGGAACCAAACGTGGGCGGGAGAATGAAGAGTTGATCTGATTAATAATAAAACTGAATTTGTGCGTGTGTTGAAGTTGAGGATGTTACTCGTTGAGAGTGATTGGATATACTCGAGTAAGGGTCGAGGTTGCAATGTAAGGGCCCTGCTTCAGCTCATGATTCATGCAAGGATTAGGAAGCTTAGACTTATAGTGAGGAACCCCCCCCCCCCCCCCCCCCTTGAATCTTTAGTGTCTCCACTGAACGACGTCGTCGGCTGAGGCTTGTTTTGGGCAGTGACAGACTAAGTTTTGTAAGCGAAGAATGTGATGTAATCAATGTAAATAAACAAAAGGGGGTGATGTCATTCGATTATAAACTCCATTCATTCTATGGTACTCCGTACTCTCTGTCCCTCTCTCTCCAGCAGCTATAGAACACTAACCCAATTACCCCATTCGCATTAGTTAGTTAGTGATTCTTCTTCTTCCCCTTCTACGCCACTGCAAGCATTCGCTGCATGGTTTGACTGCCGCGTAACCCCCCTGTAACCGCCGCGTCAATGCCAAGTCATTGAAGAGTTACCACAGCCATTCTTGGCTCTTTTCCGCTGTAACAAGGCTGATGACGAGTGATGAGCACCGCCATAAAAAAAAAATGGGCTGCCGAAAAAACATCCCGGACTTTAGGAACCGCGGACACGTCCGAGGACCCGAGAGATCTTCGGCCGTGGAGTATTTAGCGGTGATCTCAAGTACTAGGTAGCTAGACTATAAAAGTTCCCGGCCGAGAAGGAGGGAGAATTGTAAAAAAGCTTGGAATTATCAAGATCGAAAAACCCTGGAGTTGCAATACGTAACGCAGACCCATAATATACCAAATAATTCCAACCAAGCCCAAACCCAAGCATCCATATAAAACGGGAATATAATTAATACCCTGCCCCTTGTCTCGTTTTCCATTTTCCCTCTCTTTTCGTATTTGTTCCATCTATTTCATTTTTACTTTGTCCCTGCCAAGCAAATTTTAGGTCAGGTGCTGCTGTCACTGCCTTATTTGGGTCGACTCTTAAGAGTTGCCCGCCCGTATCACCAGTTTTGCGAAACACCAAGTCTACAGTAACATCATCACATCACATTATAGAGTCACCACACAAAATTAAAAGTACACAATGGCTGTAAAAGGCATATTTTCATACTGGGTATGTTTTCTTGAACCTTTCAAGAGGGTATATACCAACTAACATGATCAGTGGTTTCCAGTCATCTCAGGCCTTGTCTGGCTCGGAATGCTTCTCGGTCTGCTCCTCGAATGGCAAGTCAATCAACACGGCCGTCGATATCCCACTCAATCGATTCACTCCGACATCGCCTACATCTCCAATGTCGGCGCCGACCGTCTCCAGCCTCTCTTCATCGTCGGCTGCGTCTTGACCTCCATCTTTCTCGATGCTGCGTTCTTGTCTGAGCGATGGCTGCGACATCGGGGCCGTCTCGTGCCCAACACGACCCTCATGGAGAAGGTCCTCAGCGGCCTCTCTATAGCCTTTGCGACCGTTGGAACCGTGGGACTTATCTGTCTTTCTATCTTCAAGACTGGCAAGTATAGCAGACTGCACAACACGTTTTTGGCGCTCTTTATTGGAGGCTATTTGTTCTCGGCTGTCTGCATCTGCTGGGAGTACCAACGCCTTGGAATCAGTGAGTCTCTACATCCATCTTCAACCGTTGCCTACTAACCAACAAACCTCTAGACTACCGCGAGCATCGTGTCCTTCGCATGTCTTTCTGGGTGAAGCTCACCTTCATCCTGCTAGAAGTCGCCCTCATCATCGCCTTTGGCGTGTGCAGCCTCGTCAAGAAGCGAAACCCCGCCGCGATCCTCGAATGGGTCATATCCTTCATCTTCACATTCTACGCCCTCTCCTTCGTCATCGACCTCTATCCTGCCGTTCGCACAAAGAGCCCTGACGCAAGGTTCCAAAAGTCCAACTACATGCCTTCTGCCCTCTCTGATTCGAGGAGCCCCAGTCACGGGTCGCGCAGTAACTTGGATGCACTCTCAAACGGTCACCACGATGTCGAGATGGCGCAGAACAGTAACCGTGTGCCTCCTAGAGACTTCTAGAAAGGCCGCAAAAGGCACACTTATGCTCAACCCATTACAGCACAACAAACTAGACTCGACGTTTGTAATGCTCTACATACGAAATTTCATGTTCTATGGAATAATGCCGGAATGATTCCCCCTTTCTTCCCTTCTTTGCATGGCGTTTGGATCGAGCGAGAATTGGCTCGTTTACGGGACTGTATTGCATGGCTTATATCGTGTTCTTGTACATGAACTATCTGATAGACGAACTTGCAGAGGAAATGCCTCTTGTATATTGATTAGACATAACTTAAACAGTATCAACATAATGATTCACATTTTGAGTAACATTCGGCATCCTTCGTGCTTTGTGTGGTCATTGCTGTGTATTGCCAAATACTGTCCTGCTTTGTCTCGTGATTATATCTAGGTCCATGTCTAAT